TAGAGATGAAGTTTCGCTGCCCAGGTGGGTCTTGAACCCACGGGCTCAGGCAATTCACTTACCTCAGCCTCCCAAAGGCGCGGGATTACAGGCTAAGCCACTGAGCCCGGTACCACTCATGCTTTTTAAAATAAGTTCCCCCAGTAATTTTAATGGGCAACCATGGCTGAGAACTACCACTCTAGCTCAGGGAGAAGGAGGAAAAGGGAGAGAAGAAAACCCCTTTCAGGTTTTTGAGGCCTTAGAGCAAGGCTCAGAGGGAAAGGAATGTTCTGGGAAGTTTAAGATCTTCAGCTTGAAGTCCCGAGCAGACAGAGAGACCCACCCTCACCTGATAATGCATCAGCGTGTTGAGCCGCTTCCAGTCACCCTCGATCTTGGTGGTGATGTCCTCATCTTGCAGCACGACCCGGGCGATCCGGCCTTGGCGCCATTCTGGGTGGATTGGGGGGGTGGTGAGAGGGGTGGGGGCTGCAAACTTGGGTCACCCAGTTGTGCCTCCTTTAGGGACCTGGCCCACCCTGGCCCCCTGAATCTGATGCCAGCAACAGAGTTCAGTACCATCTAGGGCTCCATAGGTGTCCAGGCAGCCGTGGAGAGACAGGGGGGCCTCCCCAGAGACAGTCACATCTGAGCAGGCAGTGCTTGATGGGAGAAGCATTTCACATGGCCTAACCCAGTCATGTTCCCAGCAGGGGCTGTGTATAGGGTAGGGTTTCCCCTTTCTCCACCCTTCATCCCCGCCCTCACAGTCCAAGGCCAGCTTCTTACCCAAGTCCATGTCAACTGCCCTTGGTCGCTGGGAATAGGGCACATTCTTATACACGGCATCAAGGATCTTCTCCTTGACCTGTGTGATGGTGTCACAGTTTAACACCTTCACAGGGATCTCCGGACTGTTTTCGTTGTCAGGGTTAACACAGTTCAGAATCTACAAGCAAGGGACAGAGGATAAGTATGATAGGAGTCAAAGGAGCAGTTTGAGGGCGAGGGTCAGGGCCTCAGAATCTTCTTTTTCCAAGGTTTGCCCTCTTTATAGGAGAGCAAGGATGCTTCTCTGGTCTGTGCCTCAGCTTCCTTCACCTTCCTGACATCTATCAAATGACAGCCTGAGTCACTGTGTCTGTTCCTTTTTTCTACAGAGAATCAGGACTCTACTTCCTAGCTCCTGGTGGCTTCTGGGAGACACAGTACTGTAATGAGGCAACATAGGGGTTTAGGGATGGTTCTAGATGTATCAAGGATTAGCCTCACACTTCCCTAAAGCTTCCCTACTAGGAATAAACATACATCTTTCCCATGATTCCAATGACTTCATATCTAATGATGGGTGTCCTTCTTTCTCCTAGAAAGCTCTTAAAGTTCTCCAAGTGATATGGGAGAGAAGAAGTCCAGGTATGCCTGCTATGCCCTTGGTATACTTAGTTGCTCTTTGGGCTTGCCCCCCAGACCATTCTCTCAGTGTCTTTAATGATCCCTTCAGACTGCCTTTGTGGTCAGAAGGTAGAGCATGAGTAAGAAACAGAAACCACATGCTGTCCCCTGAACTTCTGGACTCCTCACCAGGGTCTTGTACTCAATCTGCTGCCGGATGAGCTTGTCCTCACTCAGGGAGTAGCGGGCCTCGCCTGTGATGGCGTCGATGGGGCCCTTCTCCATCTGCTGCTTGATGGCACAGTATAGCATGAAGAGCGGCTCCCCAGCACACTCCTGTGGGCACAGACAGGGTAGGGAATTGTGGACACTAGCCTCCTTGGGTGTGCTCATTCTCCCCATTCTGCCTCAGGGCCAGGGCAGTGGGGAGAGGGACTTCCTAGGCCCGCTTTGCTTGGTTGCACCCAAGTCAGGTAGATTCCAATTCTGAGGGATGAGGTCTCCAAGCAGCTCTGATGGCCAGCATCAGAGGAGCAGTTGCCATCTTGCCCTGGACTCTGGGTGACATCTCACTCCCTTTCTCACCTTTAGGAATTTGTGCAGGAGGAAGGCGAACCAATTGGTCAGCATCTTCTCAGCTACAGACTCTGTCCTGGGGAAGAAAAAAAGGATGAGAGTCTTGGTGGTGAGGCCTGGGCTTGTTGTGTGAACCATGGCCTAGGAGAACCACAGAGCATGAAAGGACACAGGACTGGGAGCCAGGATGCCTGGGTCCTAGCCCAACTCCACCAGTAATAGAAGTGTGACCTTGGGTCAGGGGAGGCTTCTTTCTGGATCTCAATTTCCTTGGGCCCAGGTGGAGGGGCAGGGGTTTTATCTCTGATGGTCTGTGGTCCTCTGAACCACTTTGGCTGTCTCTAAGACAGCTGCTGGGGGCAAAGGCACCAGATACCCATAGTGCCTTGGGTTACGGCTATGAAAAACCACAGGTCTACGAAGAACCAGTTTGCTGACCCCCTTCTGGTCTCAGGGGGATACACAAAGAATTTCCTATCCCTCTAGGATTTCTCAGATGCCTGGGTACTCTGTTTTGATATCTGGAAGGTGCCTTGTGTCTTCCCCTGCTAACACTCAGAGTCAGATTGCCTTGGGTTCAGATCCCTACTCTGCCATGCACTGGCTCTGTGTCCTTGGGCAGGTCATTTAACCTCACTGGGTTCAGTTTCCCCATTTCTAAATGCAGACAGTAATAACAACATCCACTCCCAATGGTTGTTGTCAGGGTTGAATGAGTTAATATTTGCAAAGTGCTAAGAAAAGTGCCTGGCACCCGCTAAGTACTATGTAAGTATTAGCTGTCATTATTGCTGTCATGTAGGGTCTTGGATGCCAGCCCTCAGGTAGAGAGCAGTGCTTAAGTGTTTAGCCAACAGGGGATCTGCTTGTGCAAGCACCGCCCCTACTTCCCTCCCCCTGTCCTGGGGCTACAGATCTGGGGATTTGGGAAGGAACAAAGCGGCTGTGACAGACCCTCAGTGACAGGGATGCCGGAGGGGTATTTTAACTCCCTGCACGTGGTGCAAATTATACCCTCTGGTTGCAGTAAATCCCAGGCATTTGCCAGGACTGTGCAGCAATCTGGGCCTGGGAGAGAGTGACAATGGCAGAAAAAATTGTAGCTTTCTCCCTTGACTCCTCCCAGTAGCCTCTCCCTGCATTGTGCCTGAGATTAGCTCTAATTTAAATACAACAGTTCTTAATGAGAGTTTCTAATGCTCAGATTGGCAGGATAGGAGCTCAGTACTCATAAAACAAAGCCATTCTTCCTCCCTCCTCACCCCACATGGGACCTGGAAGCTGGAGACCTTGCTAGGAGAAGGCAAAAGAGGAGGGCAGTGAATGGAGGTAGAGTATTCCAACCCCTGCTCCCAGAGGAGCTCCAGAGCTGTGCTGGGCTCCTCATGGCCTCTAGAGGGTGGACTCAGGGGGAGCCAGGGTCTTCAACGCTCTCTCCCACCAGGAAGATGGCAACTGGGGTGTACACTGGATGGTGGTGATTCAGACCCAGGAAGCCAAGCACAGAAGGAACAGGATGCACCAAATCTATAGCCCAGCACTGTGCAATAGAACCTTCTGCAGTGATGGAAATGTCCTCTGTCTGTGTTGTCCAAGATGGTGGCCACCGGTCGCATGTTGTGTGCGAGCACTTGGAATGTAGCTAGTGCGGTGGAGGAGCTGACACTTAACATTCTGTTCTATTTTAATTAGTAGCAGCTACCTGTGGCTGGTGGCTGCTGTGCTGGACAGCGCAGCTCTAGAGGCACAAGGAGGGAGATACTGTGAGATCAGAGTTATTTTTCTCATTTTGTCTATGAGAAAACCAAACAACAGAGAGGCTACAACACTGGCCCTAAATCACAGAGCTGGTATGGGGCAGAGCTAGGGTTCCAGCTGAGATCTGAGCCGGCCTGGCTCCTCCGTCACACTTAGATGGCTTCTGACACTGTAGTCTCCCTGGGCCAGGGAGCATCAGATTGTGCCCTGCAGAGTCGCAGGGACACAGGCTGCTTTGCAAGGATGTCACTTCTAGGGACTGGGCCTTCTCGTGTGACTTGGAGGGCCTGCTCTAATGAGGCACTGCGTTCCCCTTGAGACATCTACCGCCCTCCCCATCCCCTGCCGTTGGTCAGACCTCCGAAGAAGTAGCTTGGGGTGGTTCTTGTTCTCCAGGTTCTTGTCGATGAGGTCCGAGAGCAGCTGCTTGAGGACATCGGTGGCGTATTCCAGGCGGCCCTGCAGGCCGGTCATGATAAGCGAAGCCACGTTGCCACGGTCGCGCATGGAGAAGCTGCGCTGCAGCTCCAGCGTGCGAATGAAGGTCAGCAGGAACACCTTGTTGTTGATGAGCTGGGCAAAGAGCTTCAGGGCCTTCTCCACGTGCTGCTGCCCGTTTCCCTGCACCTGGGGTGGGGCATGATGGGGCAGCTCCCTCAGAGGACTGGCCTCCAACCCAAGGGTCTCACTGAGGGCCTGCTGGTGGTGACTCCAGCAGGAGGAGCCTATCCAACCCATCTTTAACTACCTCTGCCCTATTCCAACCACCTACGATGATGTAGAAATGACTACGTCTGCTCTGGGGCCTATGTCTGCTCTGACCTTCCACTGGGTTGGGAAGGTCAGGCACCATGAAGATCCCTCAGAGGGATGCCATCTGATTTTCCCAAGGATGCAATAGGAGATACCCCATCGAACGTCTTCAGTTTACTAGTCTCCCCTTAATCTCCTCTGTCCTGATTTATCATCTTTAGTAAAACAAACCAACAAATGAACAAACAAACCTCACAGAATCCTATCTTTCTTTAAACCACATTATATCCATTTTAAAATGAGGCAGGATCTTAATTAATTCAGTCATTAATTAAAAATTGACAAATAGTGAACCTCACCCTGGAATCATCCCAAGGAGCCTGGGTGCCCCCTTGGCTGTGACCTTGCTGATACCTCTGCGGCTGTGTGCTGTTAGAAACTACCAACCCCTCTTTACTGCTAACCTTACTCTGTGCTGAGTCCCACCTGGATTTCCTACGAAACCCCAGGCCTGCATCCCTGCAGGGTGGTTGAGCCAAGGAGGCATCTCGTTACCTCCAGCTCCCGCAAGACAGGGTGGTCCTCGATGCCTGGGAACAGGACTCGCATGGCGTAGGTACGATAGTCCAGGTAGGGGATTCCTGAGCGGTCCAGGTCGCTGGTCAGCTCATTGATGTCCGTCTGGAGCTCAGCAAATGCTATGAGAGTGAGTGGAGTCAGGGAGGGTCAGGAGGGAACGCCAGTCAGCAAGGAGGAAAGAGACAGAAGAAGTTTGTGAAGGAGGAGGGGAGGACTTGGGGTGTAAGCAGTGAGGATTACAGGGGTGTGTCTCCAGAGGGTGGGGATATCTCCAGACTGCCTTTTTCAGGTGGTAATGAGTGATTTTTATAGTATTTTCTCCTTCATGCTTATCTGTACTTTTGAGTTTTCTTTTCACATATTACTAGTACAGTTAAAACAAAGAAAAAGGAAGAACGCTGTGATTGAGCTGTTCAGGAAAGTTCCTGGAGGTGCTAGAAGCAGGTGGGAGACAGTGGCTGAGGGCTCCAGCAAAAGCCAGAACAGGCAAAGCATTGTTCTTTTCCAAGCAAGAAAATAAATCGAGATATGAAAAGCCAGGGGAGCCCTGGCCATCAGATGCCGAGCTGAGAGGCAAGTTTGGGCAGGGAGGCCTTCAAAGGCCTCACCTTGGGAGAAGGCCTGTGTTCCTGGTCCCCGCCTCTCCCAAACTCACAGCCCTGGCACCAGGAGGAGTCTTGGCCTCACCTTTCCCATTTCTTGGCCCACTTGTTCCCTCCCATCCAGCAGAGGGCTTGTTTCTGATCTTGACCTTTGCAGCAAATGGAGAAATGTTTTGATTTCTAATTGAGATGTTTACTCAGTGAGCCCGCCAGGTCCTCAGTCTGGGAGGACACCAGGTACACTCGTCACCCCGAGGCTGTAGCTGCGTGGGAGACAGGAGAAAACACAATCTCCACTCCCACACACATCCACGGCCAAGGACGCCAGCACAACATGGCCTTCAGGGCACTCAGCCTGCAGTGCTGCTGGAAAACAAACCCCGGGGGCGATGAGGCAGTTGTTCTTCTGCCTTTCCTGCTGCTGCTCCCACTTGCTTCTTGCAAGAAACAGGAGCTGGATACTCCTGTTTGGGGACTCTGGAGTCTCAGATGATGGGGTCTGGGGGGCTCTGACCATGGGGACATTGAGGCCCCGAGAGGGAGAGGGAGTCAGTCAGATTGCGGCGGGGGCTAGAACAAAGGGATTGGACCTGGGCAAAGGAAGTTTCTAGAAAAACAGAGGTCCAGGTTGAGTGGAAAGGCTTGACTGTGCGTGATGGGAGTGAAGATGGGAACTGTCTGTAAGGAGAACAGTAATAAGGCGTATGAAGGAAGAGGGGCCCAGGAAACAGAGGGCGTGCCTCCATTTACCTTCTTTGCACTCCAGGGCTACACGGGACTCCAGGTTGTCCATCTGCATTTGCAACCGCTTGAGAGTGAGGTCGTTCTCTCGAGACTTGCGCTTATAGGCAATGAGGACGATGATGACGATGATAAGGAGGAGGCTGCCACCAGCTGCGATGCTGACGATGGCTGGCAGGGTCAGCAAGCTGTCTGAGATGACACTCACCGAGCCAGGCGAGAACACCATCCCGCCCACGTGAACCTGTGCATTGTACACACACAGACGCACACGGATGCACACAGGTGTAGAGCCCTGGCATGCCAGCAAATCTTTACAGTGAGAGGAAGGACATGACAAACCACAACCACACAGTGCAGATTTGGATACAAAGCAACTTCCTGCCACAGTATCTGCCTTTTTTTTCTTGCGTTCTCAACTTCTACCCATTTTAACGTGGGACATGGAGACGAGGCGATATGGAGGGTGTGAATCAGGCAACAAGGTAGAAGAGAGAACCTTTCTTTAGGACAGATTACACATGCATCATGAGGAGGGCAGGAAGTTATCAACAGAGGAGGGGTCCACTCACCATGACCTTGTGCTGCCCTGTGAGGTTGGGAGGCTCGCAGAGGAGCTGAGTCTCAGATACGGTGACAGCGCAAGGGGTTTCTCCAATCAGCACCGTGTAGTTGAGTTTAGCTCCTCCAGAGGCAGGAGGGCAGAGGTTTTTCCCCTGTAGAGAAGTGTCATCTTAACAGGAATAATAGACAACTGCACACACAAATTAATTGCCTACTTAAAAAGAGATGAAGGAGACGAGGAAGGGCGGCAATCCAAAAGTCAGTCAAGGACTCCATGGTGGGTTTTTTGGTGGGGACTTCTAACAGCCACCATCCAGAGAAGAAAAGAAAGCAAGGGAAGAAAAGAATAGGAAAGAGGTGGTGGAATACGGCACTCAACAGGAGAAAATTTGAGGACACATATGTCGGACTTGATGAATCCGGTGGAGGAACCAAACACTTGGACGGACAGTACCAGGGGATGTGACCTCCTGAGAGAATGTGCAGGCTACTGCAGCCATGGGGTAGGCAGAAAAGCAAACAGGTTCTCCCAACTCCCTGCAGCATCTCTGGTTCTGAAAGCTCCCAAGAACAAACAGAAATATTCCAAAGCATTTCTTGAGAATCCCAAGTGCAAGTTATATCGCTCCATGGGTCAATCTATACACAAGCACCTCTATAGGAAGATGGCAGCTTTGTGAGTCCAGGTGCATAGATAGGAGAGCCCAAATGAAAGGCAGGCCCAGAGTGCAGGTCGCCCTCTGCCATCACTGTCCATGGTGGGCACACTTACCTTCAGAATGATGGGCGATCCTGGTTTTTGATCCAAGACTCCAGTGGGGCTGAGCAGTTCAAAGGTTGGGTTGGGGTAGTAGATGAACTTGGTGTCATTGTAAATCAGCAAGGATTGGACATTGTTAAAGACAAATCCGAATTCATCTGGACGTTCCACAGTGTCCAGGCCGGGCCGGTAGTCCGTGGTCAGAGAGGGTGCCAGGCAGGTCAAGGTGGTTGTGTTCACAACTTTACACACCTAAGAGGTTGACAGTGCAGCGTTCAAATGCCGAGTGCCTGGCGGGCAGAGGCTACAGCCTCACTGTTGCCTTCCCACCCTCTGTTTTTGTTCCTCATCTTTGCGTTATTTGCTTGACTTCATTACATGATGAAGCCCTTGGGGAAAAGGGCAATGAGTTGTTTTTTGGAGGGAAGGCACTTTTTTTTTTTTTTTTGAGTTGGAGTCTCACTCTGTCGCCCAGACTGGAGTGCAGTGGCCGCTTCCGGCCACCGCAGTCTCCACCTGCTGGGCTCCGGCGATCCTTCCGCCTCAGCTTTCCAAGTAGCCGGAATTACAGGCATGCGCTACCATGCCCGGCTGATTTTTTTGATTTATTGTAGAGATGAGGTCTCGCTGCCCAGGTGGGTCTCGAACCCGCGGGCTCAGGCAATCCACTCACCTCAGCCTCCCAAAGGCGCGGGATGACAGGCTGAGCCACCAAGCCTGGCTGGGAAGGCACTTTTAACTTCATTCATTCATTCACTATTGGGGCATCTACTTTGTACCAGGCATTGTGCTGGGAGTTGGGGATCTAGAGTGAGACAGTCACCGTCTGGAGGTGGAGACAAACAAGCATGACAGCACAGTCCTGGCAGAGGGCCTGGAACTCAGTAGGGGCACGGTACTGTTAAATACATGCGTGGATGTGAAAAACGCCCTGGTGGGGAAGGACCAGGTGTTCTGCAAGTGTTATGCTTGTGAGTGTATGTGTGTATGTGTGCATGCACACGCATGTGTGCGTGGCCTGAAGCAAGGTAGGGGAAGAAATGAATACAATGTAATCTGAAGAATGAGCAGGACATACCTAGACAGAGAGAGGGAGGGTCAGAGGAACAAGTTCCAGGGAGAAGGAACAGCACAGTAAAGGCCAGGGATGAGGGCGCATGCGGATGCTCATGGACAAAACAGGACAGAGAAGTGTGGGGTGTGGAGCAGGAAACGGTAGGAGATGAGCACTTTGCCCATGTAGCAGGTGTTCAGTTAACATTTACTGAATAAGTGGATGAGTAAATGGGATCCTGCAACTCTTTAGATATTTTACCCAGGACCCTTCTCTCTCACTTCTCTAACCAAATGCTTCCTCACTCCGTGTTAGGGTAAAACTGGGTTTTGACACTGAGTTCATGATGTCCTTTTTCTCTTGGAGGACTCTGGTATCCCAACTGAAATCCTCACTTGGCTCTCCCCTACTTAGCATGAGCTGTGCCATTCTCTTCTTCAGAGGCTTAGTTCCAGGGCTGCCCAAGGCAGTGGCTAGATGCAAAAACCACTAAAGGACTCACATAGGGTTTGGGAAGAAGACTCGAACTCCTAGCCCTCTCTGTCTGACTCCCATGTAGCAGAGCTTGGTTTCAGCTTAGAAGCCATGGCGGGTATCCCAGCAACAGCCAAGAGCATCTGTGAGCGCTCAGACTGCTCAAGTATGTGCTGTCCTGGCAGGTTCACACATGTTGTGCATCTGGCCAACACACACACACACACACACACATACACACACACACGCACGCACACACACACACACACGGGCTCCATATTCAGAAAACAAGACCATGTGTAAAATCGCAGAAGAGCTGACACTTGCTTAGAGATTACCTCTCAAGATTATGTCATAGCTTTAAGTCTAAGTCTTAACCTTTGCTTTCTGGAGGGAGTTTATGCGTTGAAATAAAATGGCTCACTGTGGCTGTCCTGCTGTCGTGGAGGTCAGAACCCATTTCTGCCTCTTCATGGTACAGGCCGGCAGCCCCTTTGAACCTAATGTGTCTTCCATGTTTCAGGTGGGGACACTGAGTCACAGGGAGTTTGAAGGGTGCAGTGAAATCGGTAGAGGTCCCAATCCCTGGGCTCTGCCAGGAAGGCACCCAGCCTCAGCGAGCCTCTTCCCCCCCTCCCATCTTCCTCCTCCTGGTTTCCCTAGAGCAGGCTCCTCTATGAATAAGCAAATCACTTTCAGACAAGAGGCCTCTGTGTGCTTCCTGCCCTGTGCTGCATCGGCACTTTGTTTGCCAAACATTCCTTTGGGTTTTGCGGTTCACCCTGGTTCTCCTGGCTATCCACTGGGGCTGCTCAGAAACCCAACGGCGAGGGGTGGCCCCAGGTGTGCTGAGGATGAAATGGGGCCCAAGCAGGTCTAAGGGGTGAAGTGCCTCCTCCCCCCACTCCTGAAAGAGGAAGCCCAAGACAGGGCTTATGAGCTTTCCATTCTGGAGCCAGGCTTGGTGGAAGACTGCATGCTCACATGCCTTCCTTCCAGGCCTGCCAGCTGTGGATCCAGGCTGGTCACCACCGAAGCCCAGGGCCCACCGGGTCTCTAGAGGGCAGAACTTACTTCTTCGTCTCTTAAAATATTGAAATCACAGTGCAATGGGCTCGGGGAGGTGCTGGGGAGATTCCTGCCCAGGGCTGCAAATGAGTCCTAGGGAGGGAAGAAGGGGCCTGGGACCTGAGCCTTCTGCCACAGATGTCAGGTGCAGGAAGCAGAGAATTGGAGAGGATGGGAGAGATGGGGGTGGGTGGGAAGGGGCTCCCCAGTACAGGCTTCTCTTCAATGACTTGCTGAGGACTAATGCCACAGCCTTTGGAGGTCAGCCTTGTGAGTCATACTCTCCAAAATTCTCCCTGTACTGTGTTAATTATGTCTTTTATTTTTGTATTCTGATGCTTTGATATCTGGGGCCTTGCTGACTGGGATGGGAACACCCCTCCCAAATCCAGCCAAATCCTAGAGATAGCAAAATGCTTACATATGAGCCTGCCTGAGTGCCTTTCAAATGCAAACTACCTAGGTACCAGACAGCTGGGGACAGCCCCTAGGCCTCAGAGCCTGCTGAAATCACTCAAACCAGCCAGTCCTAAACTTGCTTACCCTGCTGTGCCTGTTCCTGCAGAAACCACTGTACAGCCTCTTGCCACAGGTTCTCCTTCTCCCTTTCCCTCCCGACTAACCCCAGGCTGATCCCACCCCACCAGCATGGCATGCCCCCTTCTCATGGTGTCTGATCTGTATGTGAGCCTAACAAACTATACTCTAGACTTGCCAGGCCTGAATAAAAAGAAAACCTCTTTTTAAAAACACATATCTAATTTGCTTCCTTTTATTTTTCAATCCTTCCTGGTGTGAACTCATCGTTCCCGTTCTTGTGCCTCACTCTCCTCACAGGCCCCGGAGTCTGACAGAGCAGAGGTGATCTGTGAGCTTCTGGGAACACTTATCTTCAGTCTGGAAGTGGTGTGGGGCAAAGGCTCTTTTACCCATGGATCGAGCTCTACACCTAAGAGTGGGAAACGTGAGCTCACCTAGCCCAAAGAGGCGTGTCCATGGTGGTTTCAGTGGTGTAGTACTGGTGCCCCATGTCTCTAGCAGGATGCTGGTGTAAATCCCACCAGCATTTCACATGACCTAGCTGGGAACAGTCTGTCTGGGATGCAGCTTAGCCCCTGCCACAAGTTGCCTTCACACTGGGGGCAAGTCACTTACTTATCCTTTCTGGCCTTAGTTTTCTCAGCTCTACAAAGAGGGGGATTGGACCATACGATCCTCAAGAACTTTCCAGATCTAAACTTCTAGCACTCTGTCATTTTATGTATCTCTGTGTTTCTTAAGGAAGTCTTAAGCATGCTGGGAATGTGTCAGGGATAAGAAGGGAGACACAACACCATCCTCCCCATCTTTATCTGAGCCTAGTCAACTCCCTGAAGGTCAAAGCAGTAATAATAGTAATTCACATGAAAAACAATGGACAAAATAGCATCTGGTAGAATCTAATCATGAATAAAATCACCCTTCAAAAAATATTGGATGAAAGAGTGAGATGGCGCCTGTAGAACAAACTACAAAAATGTATAACCTATCACAATTCTGTTCCTATAACACAGAGGACTTTTAAAAAATTATAAGAAATCCATAGTGGGGGAAAAATAAAATTACATGGCTCTGCACAGAGGAGTCAAGTAAAATGTTCAAACCGATCCTTTCAGCAACTAGGGTAGAATTACTGACACAGCCACAAACGTTTCTCAGCTGTCAGCCTCATGCCTGCCATGAGCTGGCATGTTATGAACCTGCAAGTCTGATCATCACCACTCATAGCTGAGGTGTGGATGATCCGAGAGGTTCGATGCTTTGATCATGGCTGTATACTAATAGATAACAAAGCCCTGCTTCCAATCCAGACACATCTGAGTCTGGAGCCAGGATTTCTCCACCCCTACTCCCCAACATTGATTCTCATCGAACCTCAGAGTGAACACAAGACTTTTTGTGTTCTATCACAAGCTCAGGAGTCAGTATTTGTATATACTCACTATATCACCTTCTGACAAAAAATTATACTGTAATAATAAAATCATTGTAAGGTGCATTGTAAATTGGGGCCATGATTCCAGGCTCAGAATCTGCAACCAACTTTCCTTTCCAGTATTCAGGGGCTCTAGTGCCCAATCCAGAGCTCATCCCATTGTAAAACATAAATGTGTAGCTGTGTTTACTGAGGGCCAGGGCAGATCGATGGGTACTCACATTGACAGACTCTTTGCCATTAAACTTGACTCGGATCCTTGGCTCCTGAATGACATCCAGGTTGAAGCCTGTGATGGTCAGGGGTGTGTGGCCGCTGGGAAAAAGCAGAGGCTGGATCAGGTAAAAACCTCCTCAAACCTGGCATGCTGAACCTCCAGCACGTGAACCAGACATGAGCTGCAGGGATCCTGCCACGTGGCACCAGGTGCATCCCTCCCAGCCTCCCCCTTACCTGGCAATGCTCCACTCTGGCTCAATGTGCTGGACCCGAGGATCATCTATGTACTCGAACTGCAGGCTGTTATCTACACGGGCTCGGTCGACACTCACAGAAACGGGGACTGGTCCCAGACCATTGGATGACGGGGGGGAGACACACATGATCTCATTCATTGACCTCCTGACAGGGAGACAGCAGGAGGGTTGAGAATAAAGGCATGGGCAATGGGGGTGCTCTCTGGCTCACCTAGGGGTTTTCCTTGGTCTGAAGTTATGGCCTGGAAGTGGTCTCATATCCTTTCGTATTCTGTATTGTGGAGTTTATCCCTTATCAGTGTAGACTGATGCCCTCTTTTTATTTTTATTTTTTAGAGACAAGGTCTTACTCTGTCACCCAGACTGGAGTGCAGTGGTATGATCATAGTTCACTGTAACCTCAAACTTCTAGGCTCAAGGGATTCTCTCACCTCAGTCTCCTGAGTGGCTACAGGTGTGTGCCATAGTTTTTTAAATTTTTATTTTTTAGATATGGGGTCTTGCTATGTGGCCCAGGCTGATCTTGAACTCCTGGCCTCAAGCAATCCTCTCACCTCAGTCTCCCAAAGTGCAAAGATTACAGGCATGAGCCACTATGCACAGTTGATGCCCTCCTCTGACCGTAGCTGAATTAGCAAATTGGAGAAAGGGGATTAGAGAAAGTGGGGAAGGAACAAGGCTTCATGGGTTTTGAAGGAGCTCCGTTTTTCTGGATTTTTCTAGACTATGACTATTTGACCAGTGTGTAGCATCTTGTCAGGTAGTCAACAAATATTCACTGAGCACCTACTGTTCACAGTGGTAAACGCACTATCCTTTCCTTTATGGAGTTTATGATCTGAGGAGATTATCAGTTAGATAATACTAGGCAAACTGAACTCTCATGCATGGACTCTTTCAGAATTCTCTCAGGATTTTCTTCATACCCAGGGCTATGGGAGTAGCTGACAATTGGTAGCTGTTCAATTAGTTATACACCAGAGATGCCCTGAGCATAAGTCTGTTCTTACTGAGCACTAATGCCATGCAACCTTCATGTTTCTCAAGTCACTATAGCAGAAACTTAGTGAATGCTTCATCTTAATGGTGACTGGAGAGCTCCTAGAAGTCTTCTTCATCTGGCGTTCTTAGGGCCCTCACTTCTAATTATTTTTAGACATATTCAGCCCCTCATATATAGGGGATATAAACCAACAAGTAGTATATACTTCTCACAGTGACTGGAATGGTATTAGGGTCTGGGGTATAGCAAATAGCACGGAGGTGATGGGACAGGCCTATGCATGAACATGCACAGGACCATGTGTACAGCACATGACCCAGACATGCCGTCTTCTAGTCAGCCTTCATGTTCATCTCACCCATAGAACTCGCAGGTCTGGTTGCCCAGGTATACTGCCACGCTGCTCCCAGCCCCAAGGTAATGTCCCGTGATGGTCACCATGGTGCCTCCCGACTCTGGCCCTCGGATAGGGTTGAGTGACAGCACAGAAGGATTCTTTGGAAGGAAGCAGAGATATGACTGCAGCTTAGGTTTTTCTCCAAAGGGATAGACCAGGGCTAGACTTAAAGATAGAAGGAGGGACTCTCTTCAATGCTGGGAGTGAGGCACATTTCCTGTCTGTTTTGATCCCAAATGCTCTCTCTGCTTCCCCTGGAGACCCTTTCTAAGAAGAGACTCTGGGCATGTCCGGGAAAGGCAGAAGGGTCACGTATTGGAATTAATTAACTCCCCAGAGAGTCTCATGCTCATAACACTGAAGGGAAAGCAGAGGTGACACTGACTAATCTATCAATTAGTTTACAAATTGAGAGCAATTTGAAAATGCTTCTCTATCTAGAGCCTGTACTGATTTTTTGGGCACAAAATCAATAGGGCTGAATAAAGAGTCCCTGTCTAGGTTGAGCCACTGAGAGGCTGAAGCCCTCCATCAGTGGCCCATGCACATGTCCTTCTGACACTCCCTAGGCATGTGAAGGGCACAGCAGGGTTCCTGGTGCAGAGAGCTGTCTGCAATGTTAGGATGGCTTCTCTGATCTGCATTGGGAAGATGGTACATCAAGGCTGGGGCTTTCTAGTAAACTCACTAAGTTGTAACAATAAGCCTGAGGCTTAAAAGAAATGTCTAGCCTAAAATGCATCAGGCAGCAGACCTAAATCAGAAAACATTTGCTTCTGCCTAGAGGGCAGTGGAATGAAGTGGAAAAAACATTTAACTGAGCAACTTCACAAGCATGAATTCTAGTTTGCATTAGTTACCCACTGGCTGTGAGTCCTGAAACCAGTTTGGGGATCATTCTTGATTCTGTCAAGTGAGGAGGGTGAGTTAGGTTATCTCTAAAGCCCCTCCCAGCTCTGACATTCTGCAGTTCTCTCCCCAGCTAGTTCTCCTGTGTTTGCTTCTCATACAAGACCCTGGCAGCCCTGGGTGGTAAATGGAGTAGTTTGGCTACAGAGAGGTGGTGGTTCTCTCCAATCTGAGATAGGAGAGTATAATAAAGAGGTAGCGATGCCAAGATGAGAAGTCTAGCAAATCGAAAACAAGCAGTAAAATGCCTTAGAGAGAATAGAATTTTGTGGTCTAAAGATTTACAAAAAACTCTTAGCAAGGCTGGTTTGACCCTATCCGCTAGTGTTAGCACTTTTTAATGAAGTGCTTGATGTGGCAATGTAGGTAAGTGTCAGAAAAGGGACTTCAGGGCCAGGAAACCAAGGTATTGACTCAGTATGAATATAGCCCTGGCAGGCTACAGGGCCCAAAAGCAAGTTATTGATTCAGCATGAATATAATGTCAGCCTTACCAAAAGACTTCACAATTCAACTACCTGTTGCCTGAACATGAAGAGATATTTTCGGGTGTGAGTGTGTATATACTTGCGTGTAACTATGTAACACACAGAGCAGCTCTCATAGTCCTGTGTACAGACACATGTCTCTGCCAGATTTCAGTGATTCTTCTAAACTCCCACTGAAATATCTTTGGCAGAAAACAAAGCATGTGGATAAATATAGACTCATTTAATTAGGTCCCTCAGGCTACGCATCTTCATTAGACTGGAGTAAGACAAAGATATCACATTGGTGGGACAAAAGGCAGTTCCTCCTCCTCCAAAGTCTAGGATCCACTTTCTAAGAAATGCCAGATTTTGCCTTATTTAGAACTCTGACCTGTGGCCCTCTGGGACCCCCAAGTCACCGCAGCTGTGCTCATCACATGCTCACCTTGCCCCCAGAAAGACAAGATTGCAAAGCAGTGAGGCCAGAAGTTTCCTTTTCTGGAGGGTCCCCTTTCTCCCGCTAGTCTGCAGGAAGACTGGTAGTGCTTGGCTTGGAAGGGGAGCGAGACCTTCCTGGGAAGAGTCTAGAACAGATGTGTGCCCTTGCTGGGCACCTGCATCCGGCCCTAAACCCAGAACTCACCACAAAGGTATACTGCTGATGGGACTTGGTCATGAACTCTGGCTTGCACTCGCCAATGCACAGGCGCACGGGTCCAGAGGTGGTTCCTACGAGGGCATGGCCCATCTCGCATACAATCCTGGGGAGAGAGCAAACTTTCTGGTGAGAGGCTAGGCAAGAGCTGGCATTCCCCCCATTTCCCTATTTGCTCACCAGTTACAGTAAACGACTCACATGCACAAATATGCGCACGCACAGTCTTGCAGTAGGGCTAGATCTAGACTTGGCTCAGTCATCTTTCTAGCTGTGTGACCTTGACTACAGTGCTTCCCTTCTGTGGGCTTTAGTCTCATCTGTACAGCATGAGGGTTGGAATGGATCATCTCTAAAACCCTGTGTGCCTCTGATACAATCTGCTTCCTAATTCTATGACCATGCCTGTGGCACCTAGCGCAGTGCCTAGCACTGGTTAGGGACCCAGTATTTGTGGAATAAACTGAATGCCCAACAGAGAGATGAAGGGGTAGCAATTTAGTTGGTGTTCTCTCCCATGTGACAAGCCAACACTCCCTAAAGGAGTAGGTGAGGGCCTATTTGCCAAACTGATTCAATTGTGGTTTGCTCCCTGCAGTGAGCTGTAAAAAAGGCTGTAGATAATCTGGAGAGATAGTAAGAGCTCAAAACAGGAGCTCCCAGCACAACGGGAGGGGCCGAGTTCTGCAGCTGTGGGCAAAGAGGTAGAAGGTGGACGAGTTCATCAGGCCAGCAGTTGACATTGGACTCCCACTTAGTCTAGGGCTGAGTGCACCGAGGGTGGGCGAGGTGGTGACATGGCCCTGGGTGGAAGTCACGTCTCACACTAACAGGAGAGCCGGAGGGAAGAAGTGTATTGCGTTCTCTCCCAGGCAGCCAGATCAATACCCGGGTGATGACTTCCCTGGCGCCTGACAACAGTTGCACAGGCATAGTTAGATAATGGTTGTCTTAGCCACAGCAGTCTTCTGGAAAGGGTGGGCAGCCAAGGACAGGGGAGGGGTGAAGAACTCAGGTTCTTGGGGCACCACTTGCCTGGAATTGTAGGGTCTGGGTTGGATGAGAGAGGGACCCGGTAGCCTCAGCAAAAAAGAGCTTGGGAATAGAGGGAAGAATTTTTCCTTTCCTCCCAGCAACATTTAAGACTGCAGAGCAGGTTGGTGCTCCTGGTAGGTTTGCTTAGTGGGGAGTCAGCAAAACAGACCCCCTCTCCACTAATCCCCAGCATTATACTGCCACGGTGAGGGAGGATCCGTGTTTAACCGAGCAATGCTTATCTCAACAGCTTCTCTAGGAGGGAAGGTAACTAAACAGAGATTTCATTTCGATGTAATAAAACTTGCATTAAACAAATACGCTGCATGCTCACACACACGGCACGCCACCGATCTCCATCTCCTTCATAACAGTTAATCCCAAATAACTACTTTCACTCCTGGCGAATATTTACTTAACATGCAATAACTGTCTTATTACATTTAGCATATTAGATTCAACAAGAAAGTACTGAATGCACATGAAAGAATATTCTCCCTTCTCTTTCTCTATGAATAAATCAACTAATTATGAACTTGAGTAAACATGATAGTGATGATCAATTAGTATTTTACCCGTAACTGTCTCCTTAAACCTCATTAGCAGAACATTCAAGAAGCTTAGTTTAAGGCAACGTGTATGGTTATCTTCATGCTGCTACCTGTGTGGAGTAACGACTCTTCCATCTTGTTTCCTGAACCCTGGCATCTGCTGTTGTTTCAGATCCCTGCTATTCTGCAAACCATGCCCTGCATTCTCAAGGCATGGTGAATCAACTATCTACTGTGGGTAATGAGGGGAGAGGGAGGAAGAGAAGAGGAGGGAGCAGACAAGCCTCTTTTCCTGTCTTCTAATCAGGGCTGGCTTGTCACCCTTGGACACTCTGCTGGAGTGATCCTTGAGCAGAAAAGAATGAACACATCATCACAAGCTTGAAGTTATGGAATAAGAAAATATGAGAACACACGAAGGTCACGGGCAGCATCAAAACATTCTTCCTTGGGCCCTGGGCCTGTCTAGAAAAGGAGAAAGCCTGGAATGGCCCTGGTCAGCTGTCCCTGCATGGAGTTAACAATGGACTGGGGCCTCTTGACACTGTTTTTTCTAACACATTTTCTTGCTCTAGGTTCATGCCCTAAAAGATAAACTGTGCATGCCCAGAGCCTGGGGAAAGCACAGTGAATGGGAGATGAATGCCACCCAAGTGTCCAAGGCTGAGCACCTGCAGTTGGCTCTGAATGTCACCTCCTGGAAGGCATAATGCTGAAGCCCAAGGACTGGGCTGAGGCCCAGAGCTGGCCATGGGTCCCCTTCCTTGTCCCTGCAACTGTGCCCTCTTTTCATCCATGAAATGAATGAGAAAAGGGTCTCAGTGAGGAGGCCTGAGAAGTGTAGTGCTAAGGAAATCAGGAAGTATGGTAGACCAACTCTAACCACCTGTAATTCTCTTTCCCTTTTATCCTGGGGATCCACTGCCAGCAGGGAAGAATGGGAAGGCCTTGAGTATCTTTGTTATAGGCATTTGTTCTCTGAGCTCAGGGAGACAGGGAGTTAAAACAAGAAGCCAGAGCAGCTGCAGGGAGTGGAAAGGGTTATATTGAGCAATGAGTGTTATGCCAAAGCAGATTCTAGACCTTAATGAGAAAAGCTACAGTTTACTGATTGTGGCAGGCACTTTACAAGACAGGATCTCATGTCATCCTTAGGTTCTGCCACAGAGTGGGTCTTATCTCCATTTTACAGATAATGAAACTAAGACTCAGAGATGCTAAGTGACTTATCTGTGGCTGCAGTTCTTGTAAGCAGCAGAACCTTGATTCAAATCCAGATCAGCCTGACTCCAAAACTCACAGGTTTGACCACTCTACTGCCGCTCGATGTAATGAAAAGTTCTGTATGTCTTTCTAGGAAGGGCTAGTATGAACGTGACAGCAATAATAGACGCGAGATTGTTGGTTGGGGCTGATGGGAAGACCCAGCTAGATTCCTCAAGCTCTGAGAGCTAACCACCTGTCCGTCTCTATCTTCTTGGTTGTGGTATGTGTGTGTACCACCTCCTCTACTAGGCTTTGCAAGTCAGCAAGGTTTCTGTGACCTGATATCTGGAGCCTCCTGTCTTCCCTGTCCCCTCCCTGTGCACCTGGTAGCTCTGGACTCCCTGTGTGTTATAAGGAGACAATAGCTGGAGATACCTAAATTTTCTCCTTGTAAAATGAGAATTTGGACCAAACTATCGTCCAGTTTCAACTTTTTTTTTTTGAGTTGGAATGTCTCTCTGTCACCCAGGCTGTAGTGCAGTGGCATGATCACAGCTTACTGCAGCCTCAACCATCTGGACTCAGGCAATCCTTCCACCTTGGCCTCTTGAGTAGCTGGGACTATAGGCACATGCCACCACGCCTGGCTACTATTTAATTTTTTTTGTAGAGACAAGATCTCACCATGTTGCCCAGGCTGCTCTTGAACTCCTTGGCTCAAGCATTCCTCTCACCTTGGCCACTCAAAGTGCTGGTGTTAGGGGCATGAGCCACCAAGCCTGACCTCAGCTTCAACATTTGATAGCTTGACTCCTCTTGGTCAGCAGGGGGCTTCTGGAGACATTTTAGTGCCATGATAAACTTTCTAATGGTGGAGTCATAGATTCCATAAGACATATAGTTTACTGCTTCAGACATCCTAAGGATCACTAACATGATATAGAGACCATCTATTCTTATATACCTATTTTCCAGATGAGACATTTGAGGAACAGGGAGCAAAGTGACTTGCTCAAGGTCACCTAGGTCATAGCTGAGTTAAGCCTTCACCTCCAGTCTCCTGGCACCCAGCCTGGTGCCCTCCCCCGACACCACCTCCCATAGATTTACATAGGCAGTAAAGGTCAGGGGCACAAGTGTCTAACATCCATCCGATCATGGCTGAGTGCACAGGTGCAGCAGATGAGAGGGAAGGGTCTGAGAATCTGAGGGGACATCGGTCCCATGCAGAGTCCCTGTCCTGAGGGAGCTGAACTCTAGCCTCAACCTGCATCCCATCGCCCAGAAAACTGTGACTGAATCATGCAGCCCTCCACAGACCTGTGGGGTGCTGATTGCAGGACTAAGCGGGGCCCTTTAACCAACATTAACCTAATTGCTGAGTGATAGATGGCACGGCACAAGCATATGGTGAATCATTACCGCGCCCGCAAATCCTGCCCGCGCCTGGGACTCTGCACTGGGCCCGTTTAGCCAAATTCATCTCTCACAGACATCTGTAACGATTGTGCCTGCTGCTCACTGCCCGGGATGGAGGCTTTAATGATGTTAACAAACTCTGAAACCTCGAGAGTGGTAATGAGTCTGGCCCAGCTGGAAGCCAGGACTGCATTCAGTGAGGCACGGAATATGCACTCTGCCTCCTGCCTGTCCCGTGTCTGAGGAGGTGGTAGTTTTCTAGGGTGACCATAAGCCCCGGCGGGAACCTGTGGAGTCCAGTCACCTTCCCAGGCTCCTTGAACATTCTCACTTCTGGCTTCTCTGGGTACTTTTTCCCCCATGACCCTGGGTTAAGGTTAAGTGCAGTCCATTTAATTTCATATCCAGAACTAGAATTCCTCACATTTGTATGGCAACAACAGGCTGGTGAAGTCAGAGACTGAACAGCTTGCTGAGGTCTTGGGACTGGTCAGTAGAGAAGCCAGGGCTAAAACGTGGTTTAAATTCCAAAGCTCATGGGATTTGGAGGGCCAGCTGCACTGAGGATTTGCACTCCTCAGTCAAAAACTTGACCTCCCATCCCCACCCCAGCCCGTGGCACCTCACCAAGTTGGAGACAGGTCTGTGTCCAGAGGCCCAAGACAGGTTCTTGAGGCCAAGGTGAATCTAGGGTCCAGTGTGACTGAATTCATAGCCTGGTCTGGCAGGGCACTGGGCTCTGTAGAGCCCACCTGGCCCTGAGGACCCCTGCAGGCTGTCCTGGCTCCTGCCCTGAAAGCTTTCACCCACTCCTTGGCTCAGGGTACTACTTATGTCATTTCCCTCACCCCTCCCTTATCTACTTCCTGCCCAGTCATCCTTTCCTCCAAGACTCATTCCTTGCAGGTATAAGGTTGTCAGTGAAAGATCAGACCAGAAGGAGCTGAGGGATCAGGCCAGCTCTTTCTTCTTCCTGGCTGTGGCCAGAAGGCATCACACAACCCCCAGAGTCTGGGAATTCATCCCTTCTGACCCTGACCCTTTTCTGGGCCAAGCCAGAATCAAAGCCTCAAAGCTATCACACACTGATGAGTCATGGAATTTTCAGGCCACTCCTGTCCAGGAGTCTTGTCCCATCTCTGCTATGGAAGAGAAAGAGCCCCTGCCTAGGAGTCAGGAGACTCAAGACCTAATACTGCCTTGGCCCCTTATATCCTGAGTGAACTGGGAAAAGTCATTTCACTTCTCTGAGTCTTTTGCTTCCTCCTGCTTTGCAAGATGGAGATAACAATATTTACCTCTCAGGGTCCTCACCAATTAAAAATGGGCTAGTGGGTGAGAAAGTGCTCCCTTAATTGAAAAATGCTGATAGAAGATAAAGTGATATCACCTTTGTGGTTGATGCTCAGGGCTGGCTCTGGGGAGGTCAGTGAGGAGGAGCTGAGGCTGTCGAGGGGTGGGACTAAGGGAGGGAACCCCCTTCCCCAAAGTCATGCTTTTGGTCAAGCTCTTAGTCTCCCATGCAGAGTGGTGTTCTCAGTGGAATCAGAACAGCTTGACCGAACTTTACAGGACAAATCATGCAGAATGATCTGGCGGCTCCCCTCCTTTCTTTTTTGGAGGGGCAGCATCCTTCCTTCCACCCTCCCGTCCCCAGCTTTGTGCCCACCGCCTGCTCACCAACTCCACAGTGGCTGCCACTGCCAAATGAACACCCCAAATTGGAACATATGTCACTCCCGGAGTCCCGTTCGCCTGTCCGCCACTACATGCCTATTTTCTAATTTCCAGCTGACATTTCCCTTAGTGAAATAAATGAATTTGCTCCGGCAGAGGCCCTGCTCGGATTAAGCTGCTGTCACAGCCCCACGCACCAAACAAATTGTTGCCCACAGCCCACCGTGCGGGATGCATTCCAATGGGGGCCATCAGGGGTGGGGCCAGAGACTAGGAGGAGTCTGAGTTTGTCAGGAAACTGGCTCAGTCATGCCAGTGGGTAAGCAAAGACTGAACGAGGGGCAGTGTCAGTGCCACAGCCCTGATGCTGGAGGAGACAAGGGAGAGGGAATCAAGCAGAATAAGAACCTCCGAGGGTGGAGATGGGGGAGAGAGGGAAGGCTTCTGGGGCAGGTCCATGGGAAGAGGAGGTGATGGAAGATGAATCCTAGAAAAGTCCTAGAGAAGGGAGAGGGAGGGTCTCTACCCTGAAGCTCCCATGGGAAAAGGACCAGCCAGGGCAGACTCACTGCTCAGCGATGATGTATTCCCCTGGAAGGGGTGTGCAGGGCACCCCAGCCACCTGCACGTGGTGGGCGATCTCAGAGAAATCCAGACCCAGGTTCACACCATGGATGGTCACTCGAGTCCCTCCTTCAGGCGGTCCGGACACCGTCAAAATCTGCAGGAAGGAATTGAGATTAGCAAACATGGCTGGCCACAGGGACAGAAACAGCAGTGCCTTTCTCCTCCCCCAGGGAGGTTTAAGGACTTTGATGGATATCTGGGATATCTGGGTGAACTGAGTGTATTTTCTCCATTTTTATCTTATCCTGGCTAGCTTATCTAAGGTTCTGTTTTATACGACTTCCTTGGATCTTTAAGTCACTCATTTATTCATTAATTCACTTATTTTAAAAAAATTATTGAAAATAAATTATCTAGGCAAGGTGACATGTGCCTGTATTCCCAGCTACTTGGGTGCCCAAAAAGGGAGGATCATCTGAGCCTAGGTGGTAGAGGCACAGTGAGCTGTGATTGTGACACTATACACCAGCCTGGCAGAAAACCATTGTCTGAGACACTGCACTGGTTCACTAGTTGCCTATGATGATCAGGTGTGTAATCTGAGTTTTAGTTCTTCTCCCTTGTGAAGGGGGTATAATAATCTTGATCAACCTTGCAGGGAACTTGAGAGTGCCGAATAGAGGGAGTCCTTGGGAACATTTTGGAAATCAGAGGGCTCTGTAATTGTGACAGTGTTATTGTTGTTACTCCTGTGTGCTGGACCCTGTAGGGGACACAGTGATGAATGTGACAGGAAATTTGCCCTCAAGGAACGTAGAGTCACGGAGGGAGGATGAGATAAAGGAGACTCATGAATAACACTGATTCAGGGTACATAGGGATAAGATAAATACAGAGGAAGAGCTGTGGGAGCTCAGAGGAGTAGAGATTAGGTTTGGCTGCAGGCGGAAGGATCAAAGGCGGAAAGTGTGTTTGACATTGTTCTGCAAAAAAATCCTGTGATACATGTTAGGACCAAGGAGAAACAACTTTAGGGTTTTCTGACTCTTTGCTGACTTTCTGTTAGCAAGGATCATTTATTGATTCATTCCTTAATTCAGTCACCAAATGCTGACTATCACACTTGGCTTTGACCCAACAGGAAAAGGAACAGCAGAATCAGGAGGGTCTCCTGAGGCAAAAACTCCTCTTTTGGAAAAATGCAGTTTTTTGTTTTTTGGTTTTTTTGGTCCAACAGATCCCAGTGAATAAGTTCACACTTTGAGGAAGTAGGAAAAAATTAAAAGAGAACTTAATCCTCGACAGCAAAGGAACATAGAATTTCAGAACTGGAAGGGGTCTTGGGGTATTTAATTCTAAGATCTTTATTTTTTAGCAAGAAGAATGGGACTCAAAGAAGTCAGGGATGTGTGCAAGGCCTCAAGGAACTTGTACACACAGCTGTAAAAAAAAAAGGTCCAGTGTTCTTTTTACTACACTATATGAAAAGCAAGATGGAAGAAGGAGGGAGGAGGGAAGGGGACTTGATCAAGATTGAGTCTACCAGAATCTTCCAGATGGGGTCTCTGTAGCCCCTATGTCCTTGGACACTTCTAGACAGTCTTCCCTTGACTTTGTATGTGCTGGTGGAGTGTCGGGTGGGGTGGCAAAGTCAGTATGCCCCAGGGCAGAGACGACAGACAGATATAAGTAAAAATGCTGTCAAAGGCTCTAGAGACCCTTCTTACCTCCCCTCTCCCCCACAGGTGTACCACTCCTTTCCTGTGATGTGGACACCATGAGTTCTCTTACCAACTCAGTCATAAACCCTGAAGTGATGGTGAGTAGAGAAAAGATGATGGTGGGCATGAGGACCAGGACAGGCCTCCTGCCTCCCTTCCCTCACTGCCCAGACAATATGCTCTTCACACTCTTGGGTGCTCAGTAAGCTGGCTGTAGAGCCAGGACTTGCTGTAGAGCCAGACCTCCTGACCTTCTATCCTCTTCTGCAGGCTAAAGTTGGTACTGCCTCCTCTCCTCCATGCCAACCAGGCTCTGGACATTCTTATTTGGGTACTCATTTTACCCAAGTCACTTTGTCTGTGGTTCTGACTCTTTCTTCTGAGAATAAAATTATAAATAAAAATGAATAAAAATAAACAAGCACAAGAAATGAATCAAGGGAGATATAGTCAAGGGGGCTCAGAGGCAACTCTCTGTGTTGGGGTGAGGATGGAGGAAGGAAGGACAACTTGGAGAGGAAAAGGCTGGCCTGAGGAATCAGTAGCCCCCAGAGCTCTTCTGTGGCTGAACTCTAAAAATAGCCAACAGTAACACATCCTGGCTGTTCCTCTCTCCCCTGGTGCAGTTCCCTCAGGGACTGGGGACTCCTGGGCTCTGGGAGATGGACCCTTGTTAATGAGAAACAGAGAAGGGGCTGCTCCCAGCTCCCTGCAGGAGAGTATCAGTAGGAGAGAATGTGTTAGCTCCTGGTTCTTTTTGGATTCATTTGGAAAGAACTTCACCAGCCCCTCCAGCTCTTCCTCCAGCCACCTGGATGGCACGAACCCACCTACCCAAAGGAACTGACAAAACAGCAGGAATTTGTTCTCTCTCCCTCCCTCATGTTTATTTATATTTAAAAAATCTTTTTTTGCTCCCTGCAGTTAATTACAACCTTTCAAAAAAAACTGTGAAATGAAATATTTCTGGAAAGCCTAAAATATTTCTGTCTTGCAGGTAGCATGTGGAGACTGCCTTGTGGATACTCAGTGGTGTTGCCAGGTTCCACGGGGTAACTTCCTCCTGCTGGCAAGTCATTGGAGTGCTTTCCTTCCAACATGACAGGATTGGTGGCAGACACACTCTCACAGACACTGGAGTATTGTAGCGTCCATTTGTTAGCAGAGAGGTGCTCAGAAGCATAAGTTTGCTTAGACAGTTTAGAGAAGGAAGACCTAGGTGTTTTTTCTTTCTTTTTTGGGGTAAATTATTAGCAAGTGTTATACCCTTGGTGTGAAATACAAGCCAAAGAGATGAATTATTCTAGCTAACAGCTGCAGGAATCAAAACCAGGAGATTTGGTGTCCTTGTGGGTTATTTAGCCAGTTCCACAGGCTTAGGGAAGGCAGGGTCTTCATGGCAGTCTTCTTTCCATGCCAGGTACTATGCCACCAGCACCTAGGGTGGATGGTAAGGGAGTTTAGGAGACAATGAGGCAACTAAGATGCCCTAGGGTTTACAAGTGTCACAGATTACACCTTCCCTGCTGAAAGCAAAACTGACATGCCAAAGTCTGGATTTCCAAAACATGGAGGAGGTGGTGATTATTTGATTTGCAAGTGGATTCCCAAGGCCTCCATTACTGATGACTTCAAAATCTGTATAGTTGGCTCAGGCCTCTCTTCTGGGTTCTGCGGCCATATATCAAATCGCTACTGGGCATTTCCACTTCTTCACAGATGTCCCTAAGGCATCTCAAATTTCACCATGTCTTCAGATGAGCTCTCCATGTTTCCTCCTTCCACCCTCAACCCGATGACCCTCCCAGTTTCTCTTTCAGCGTTAATGGAATCACTGTGCACCCAGCCAAGAATTTTGCACATATCTTCAACTATTTCCTTTCTCTCACCTACCACATGTAGAAAGGAAGGTCACTGGGGCCCTATTGGTTCTCACTCTCAGGTGTGTCTTGAGTCTGCATGTTCCAGAGTAGGTGTTCAGCAGGGCTCCATCATCTACACATTAACTGCAAGGGTCTCCATGTAAATCTCACTTCCTCATAGCTTCCAGGGTTAACCAGGCTCTTAATCACCTATTCTAAAACCTTCTGTGCCTCTGAACACTGCCAAGGCAAAGCCTCTAATTTCTTTTTCTTTTTTTTGAGTTGGAGTCTCACTCTGTCGCCCAGACTGGAGTGCAGTGGCTGCTCCCGGCCACCACAGCCTCACCTGCTGAACTCTGGCGATCCTTCCACCTCAGCCTTCCAAGTAGCTGGAACTACAGGCGTGCGCTACCACGCCCGGCTGATTTTTTGATTTATTGTAGAGATGAGGTCTCGCCTAGTTGCCCAGGCGGGTCTCGAACCTGCGGGCTCAGGCAATCCACTCACCTCAGCCTCCCAAAGGCGTGGGATTACAGGTGAGCCACCGAACCCAGCTGAAGTCTCTAATTTCTAAGGCTGGCCTGGCATTTGTGGTTCTCCAGGTTCTGACCTCTTTTACCTCTTCAGCCACGTCTTCCATTCTACGTATGTCCTCCGTATCCTACCCAGATACCTGCACCTCCTTTCAACACAATGCTCTATGAAAATTTATGGTGGTATGCACCTGTGGTTCCAGCCACTTGAAAGGCTGAGGCAGAAGGATTGCCTGAGCCCAGCAGGTTGAGGCTGCGGTGGCTGTGAGCATGACACTGCACTCCAGCCTGGGCGACAGAGTGAAACTCTGACTCTCAAAAATAAATAAATAAATAAATAAAAATTTCTGTGCTTTTGGTCCTGTTATTTGCTCTCCCGCAGCAGAAAAACCAGAGCAAGCCAAAGTGGAGGTCTGTGTACAGAGTGCAAAGGAACAGAGGGAGGGATCCTGTAGAAGACAGTCCCTGACGCCTGAGTCCTTCCAGGTGCTGAGAATCAGTCTAAGGGTCATGCCGCCTGAGTGGTGGCCTGAGGTAGCAAGGACCTGGCATTCTGCATTTCTCTTCATGACCAAGTATTCTGGGAAAGACCAAAGAGGGGAGACTTGGAGGGAAAGAATTTCTTCTCCAGAGGGGAGTGAACAGGATCCTGCAGGATACCACCTCAAACCAGGCAGCTGCAGGGTCCCAAGCCCCCTTGAAGACTGCCTCCAGGCCTCACTCTTAAAAGCAGCTTTAGATTTCAGGGCACCTAGGACTGAATTCCAGAGAGTTGGGTCTCCTGGGAGCCAAGTCTGGCCTTTCTATGCAGGTCTATACAGGGGCAAGTTGGCTGATTCCCCAGCGACTGCTTTCAGAACTCCAACAGAGTTCTTCCAGATCTGGAAAGAACTGAATGGCTTTGGGGAGGGAAAGCTAATCTCCCACAGAGGTGAGGGTGAGAGGACAGTGTGAAGTCATAGAGAGTCCCCCACTGACAGAAAGGAAATCAAAATATGGCGGGGATATTAGGTAGGTCCACATGCCTTGGTCAGTTTC